TTTTATAATTAAAAATACCCCCTCTCCATCTACGATAAGAAAATCTAAAAAATAAAAAATAAACCATCAGGCTGTTGGATTGCAGACGATTTTAGATAAAAAATTTAAAACATTTTTGCCACGCTACCATTATGGCTAAGTATACACAAAACCACATATAAATTACTCAAAACAAAATCCTAGTTAAACTTATCCAACCACATAGCCTATTACCAAAGTGGGGTATATAAAAACACGAGCCTAATGTCCGAATTTGTGTAAACAAAATTTTAGAATAAATAATAATTTAGTGTTCGTGTGCTAAAGAGATGAACTGAATTGTTCCACAAATAATGGTGCCATGTCGATGTTCAAGTGAGCTTTCATATGAACAACCACGGTCAGGAACGCTAACTCTCCTATTGATTGCTTACGCAATATTTGCTTCCCTTTGTTGTCCCTGACACAAAGTTCAATGTTTGTACACGCCTTTTTTTGTTTTCCAACCCACAAGATGCTGGCTGAGTTCACACGTACTATGTTCAATGTTTGTGTATGGTCGTCATGGATACAACAGCTCTTGAATCAAGGCTTGGTCTGATCTCAGAGGGTGAGGCGGGGGGCTGGGTGCTAGATCTCAGTTCACCCCTCAACCGTGATGTGTTGGTAGGGTAGACAATCCTGGACAATAAAGTCTCCTGCGACATTGGCCTAAAGTTCAGATCCCTTACACCGTGTTTTATAAAAGTATGTTTTATAGATATGATTTAATTACACTTTTTTAAAGCTCACTAGAGTAGTTTTGTATAACGTAATTACAGACTAGTTCTGCCATAGCCTTATTATTTTATAAAACACTTTACTTATTTAATGAAGTAATTTAAACGGTCGTTTATGACATCAACAGAGAGATCGGTATATAATGTAAGGGCGGTCATTCTATAATTCACACTAGTAAAGTCCAATACATATATGTTAGATTGCCCGTTCTTACTATCTATTCATAATTGGTTTCATAAGTGGTTTGAACGGTGTTGATTCAATAAAAGTATTCTATATAATAATCAGACACGACCTTAGCTGACATACTTTCATGCTGCATATGACCTTAGCTGACCTACATGAATGCTACATATGGTCTTGGTTGACCTACTGGCTTGCTGCATATGACCTTATCGGACCTACTTGCATGCTACTAATGACCTATGACACAATCTGACTTACTTATATGACATTAACTGACCTACTTGAATGCTACAATGGACCTTGTTTGACCTACTTACATGCTGCGTATGACCTAAATTGACTTACTTCAGTGCTACATATGACCTTGGTTGACTTACTTGCATGCTACCAATGACCTATGACATAATCTGACCTACATATATGACCTTGGTTTACCTACTTGCAGTCGAGGGCTTTAGTGGTGCCGCTACTGACGGCAGTGACCTCAGTCTGACAGTTTGACGCCGCATCTTTCAGCGTGCAGGCGGTTTGTAAGGCCTTCAGGGGATCTGTAGCAGAGGACGTACAGTAGTGAAGGTAGTGTGTCACGTCTGGTGGGTCACGTCAACATGTTAAGTCACCTGTCACGTTCAATATCACGTCATCACGTCACGTCAACATCTCACGTCTATCTATATTCTAGCAAAAAATCTTTTTAAAAGTACATACCTTGAGTTGTTGTTGTGATCGGTTTCGTTGTTGTGGTCGTTGTAGTTGTGGTGGTAGGTTTAGTTGCTGTGACTGTAGCGGTTGTGGTGGTCGGTTTTGTTGCTGTGGTTGTAGGTGATGTGGTGGTCGGTTTCGACGTTGCAGTTGCAGTAGATGCTGTAATTGTTGTTCTGGCAGTTGTGGTTGTCGATATGGCATCTGTGAAGAAATATGTATTCATAGGGTTTTGGTCTTTTACGCTTCAATACGATAAAAATAAACGTTAAAACCTCATGGAAAGTATGATAAAACTATTATCAATAGGAATTTAAAACAAAATATGTGCTACCCTATAGGCCTACAGAAGTAAACCCCAATGTAGTGACACTAGCATGGAAATAAATGACAAACTACCATCGGTGTCATGATACTTGTCACAAATTACTACAATGTGTCACCAAACCAACGACTCATGTCACAACTAAACACAGGCTCACGTCACTAACACACGACAAAGTACACACTACACATCGCGTATGTTACTGAAACACGACACATCACACACCATTCACCCCATGTGTACTCATCACACATTGCCCCACACCCCATGTGTAACCCCACAGCTTCCCTCACACCCCATATGTACTCACCCCACACGTCGCCTTACACCCCATATATACTCACCACACGTCCCCTCACACCCCACACATTACCTCACACCGACAAATGTACTCACCACACTTCCCCTCACACCCCATATGTACTCACCCCAGGTTAACCCACACCAAATATGTACTCGCCACACATTACCTCACACCACATATGTACTCACCACACATCACCTCACAACCCATATGTACTCACCACACATCCCCCCACACACCTTATGTACTCAGCACACGTCCCCCCACACCCCATATGTACTCACCACACATCCCCTCACACCCCCATATGTACTCACCACACGTCCCCCTACACCACATATGTACTCACCACACATCCCCTCACACCCATTATGTACTCACCACACATCCCCCCACACACCATATGTACTCACCACACATCCCCTCACACCCCATATGTACTCACCACACGCCCCCTCACACCCATTATGTACTCACCACACGTCCCCCCACATCCCATATGTACTCACCACACATCCCCCCACACCCCATATGTACACACCACACGTCCCCCCCACACCCCATATGTACACACCACACGTCCCCCCACACCCCATATGTACTCACCACACGTCCCCCCACACCCCATATGTACTCACCACACTCCCCCTCACACCCCATATGTACTCACCACACATTCCCTCACACCCCATATGTACTCACCACACATCCCTCCACACCCCATATGTACTCACCACACATCCCCCCACACCCCATATGTACTCACCACACATTCCCTCACACCCCATATGTACTCACCACACATCCCCCCACACCCCATATGTACTCACCACACATTCCCTCACACCCCATATGTACTCACCACACATCCCCCCACACCCCATATGTACTCACCACACATTCCCTCACACCCCATATGTACTCACCACACATTCCCTCACACCCCATATGTACTCACCACACATTCCCTCACACCCCATATGTACTCACCACACATTCCCTCACACCCCATATGTACTCACCACACATTCCCTCACACCCCATATGTACTCACCACACATTCCCTCACACCCCATATGTACTCACCACGCATTCCCTCACACCCATATGTACTCACCAAACATCCCCCCACACCACATATGTACTCACCACACTCCCCCTCACACCCCATATGTACTCACCACACATTCCCTCACACCCCATATGTACTCACCACACATCCCCCCACACCCCATATGTACTCACCACACATCCCCCACACCCCATATGTACTCACCACACATTCCCTCACACCCCATATGTACTCACCACACATCCCCCCACACCCCATATGTACTCACCACACATCCCCCCACACCCCATATGTACTCACCACAAGGTCCCTTTGACTCAGTTATCTTGGTCCACAAAGCGTCCGTAGCCAAACATTTAGCAACCAGACACTGGCCAAATGTTGTGTAGGGACTGGGATCAGGGGAGACAAAACGATAAGGGATTTAACTGTCATGGTATGTACAGTCAGTTAGTCTACCACACGCAGGGCTTGGGTTTATTATTATTTGGGTGAATTACACAAACAAAACAGGCCAAAAAAAAAAAACAACATCCAATTTCAGATAAACCGGACAAACCAAGTAAAGTTACACACACTAAACCGGACAAACCAAGAATAGTTGCACACACTAAGCCGGACATGACTCACGGGCAGGTAGTTCCGTCCGTGGCGGCGACAAGAGCGGTTTTCTCCGTGTCGCAGACAGGCTTGGTGTTGCTGCCTGCGGGTTCACAGGCATCCTGCATGGTAGTGGCTGCTGCCCTGACCTCAGCTTCGGTAGTTGCTGCTGCACCTACACACACACACACACACATACACATTCATACATACACATACACACAGCCACACACACATGCATACACATACATACACATACACATACACACAGCCACACACACACATGCATACACATACACGCACACACACATGTTTATATATATATATATATATATATATATATATATATATATATATATATATATATATATATATATATATATATATATATATAAAGAAAAATTACAACTGTTACATTCTGATTGTATGGGACTGCGTAGCCAAGAAGTAGAGAATGCTCGAGTTCGAATCCTTGTTTAAGTCAGTTGAACGTCCCTGTGTCCCACCAGCTTATTGATGGGTACCTGACTCATGTTAGGGAAAGTAAAGGCGGCTGCACATTATCCCTTCACATGCTAAGGTCAAGAAACATGTGGACTCAACTTATTCTGCCCAATTTATTGCTAGATATAAAAAGGAATCTTCACATTACATTTTGATGGCCGTGAAAAAAACGACATAAGAACTACATCTAGTTGTTAAAATTTATAAATGTATGCGATTAGGAAATGTGTATTTGAAATCACTTTAAAACAATTTAATTAAAACTATGACTTTAGTGAATCTTCCGGACTTTTTTCTACCACGCCGCTTCCCACACCCCCCCCCCCCCACCCTTAGAAGAGATTCCTGGAAGAAACTCTGTATGACTTACCTATACAGCTTGCTATACGAAAAACTGAAAAACAGTTTTATAAATTGTGTATATAAATTGTGTATATACAATACCATCGCTTAAATAACTCAAACTTAAAAAAAAAAAGCAAACCTGGAGTAGAAACTATCTGAAGCAGAAACAAAAAAAAAAAAAAAAAAAAAACTCACCGAAAACCAGTCCTGCCAAAATCCCTAGGAGAGATGGAGTAGAAAGTGTTGCTAGATCAGTCAATATTCACCTGGTTCATTTCAATTTAATTAATTTCACAAATATTAATTTATTAATTAAATATATGTAATTCACACTCACCGCCAAATTTCACCGACATTTTGTTGGTTAATTTAACTTGTTTATCTGAAGCGATAAAAAAAATCTAAACATTATATTGTCAACAAACTTTGTTTAAAAAATATCATATTTCCGTTAACCACATAGATGTTCTACTTGTTGCAGTTTTATTCACTGTATAATTTCTTGCATCGATTTTTATTTATGAAAAAAACATTTTTGCCCGATCAATTATATTTTTAAAAATCTAACAAATGTTTACAGAGCTAAGGTAAATTATTTCTGGTTATAAGTTTACTGGCGAATATTTATCAAAGTACTTGCTAAAACGTGAGATAAAAATAAGATAAAATACGGGACCAATATTAAAGTAAAATACTTGGTAAAACACGTCACAAAATTTGAACAAGTATAAAACCAAACCAGCTATAGACACTTGAAGCTTGAGAATAGCCAAGTCAGCTATCAACACCCGAGGATTGAGAATAGCCAAGTCAGCTGGAGTATGGAGTCGTGATTAAGATGTGAGATTTTGATGCTAGCCTATCACGTGATGCCCGCGTCCTGCACTACGTCACGTTTGGCTATAGCAACGCATAATGTCTACAACATCGATTACTTCGTTCTGAAATTTAAAAAAATGTTTAGTTGTTTGTTTATTAAAACTTGAACGGCCGGTTTAAAGATAAATATTGGACGCTGTGGGGCTACAAAAATGTCATAATTACATTCAGCCATTATGTAAGCGGGTGTATAGAATTGTGGGCTATAAACACCAAAACAAAGTTATGATGGTTACATATATCGCTTGAACTCTTTTGTATTTTTTTGTGGTCATTTGGGTGATTTTGTCATTTGGTTTTGTCATTTGGTCTTTAAGTGAATTTGTCATTTGGTTTGTTAGTGGTTTTAAAATTTTGTTGTTTAGTCGGTAAGGTGGTTTTGTGATTTGATTGTTAGTAGGCTATTGTTTTCTCAGGTCAGTACACCCCCCAATCCTCACTAACCCCCAATTCCCCAAATCTCCACAAACCCTCAAACCTCATGATCCCCCCCCCCCAATCCCCACAATCCCCAAATCTTATAATCCCACAAAACCCCACAACCCCCCCCAATCCCCACAATCCCAACAAACCCCCCAATCTCCACAAACCCCCAAACCTTACGATCCCCCCAATCCCCACAAACCCCCAAAACCCCTCCAATCCCCACAAACCCCAAATCTTATAATCCAACAAAACCCCACAACCCCCAATCCCCACAAACCCCCGAACCCCACAACCCCTCCAATCCCCACAAACCCCAAATCTTATAATCCCACAAACCCCCACAAACCCCCAAACCCCACTATACCCACAATTTCACAATGCCTAAAATGTCAATATTCACAGACTCATTTTATTGACACGTTTTTTTCCACAGTTTGATGTATTTCATTCTCTCAAGAATCGATAATAAACGTTGATCACCTAAAATATAATCAGCAAACAAATTGTATTTCATCGTCACGTTTTGTTCATATTTACCCCAATCAATCGATTTCTCTGTTTTAGCTGAAGGTTGAAATAATTAGCGCTGAATTCTGAAATGTGCGAGGTAACAAATACCGCTAGTATGGGATGTTTCTGCTGCTCACCTTTCTCTGAACTCTCTGACCTTTCTGTACCGTATTTCGCCATCGTCACAGTACGCTAGACCAATTGCTGTAAGTCTATGGGTCGACACGGGGTGGGGTTTTTTTTTGGGGGGGGGGGGGGGGGTGGTTCGCACACAAAACCAAAAATTATTTTGTTTATGGGTGTCGAGGGTCCCTTTGGCTTTTTGAAAAAAGGCAGGTGAAGTAGAGTTAATCTGTTTCAGTGACCTCAGCTTATGAAGGGATAATGTGGTCAGTACTATGCCCGGCCGCCTTTACTTTCCTAAACGTGAGTCAGGTACCCATCAGAGCTGAGTGAACTCAGGGACATTCTAGTGATTTGAACCTGAGATCCGACCTGGAGACTTTCGGGTTTACAGTCGTACGCCGTCACTACACGTGACCCAGCTTTACCGAACAATATTCACACCCTGGTGTGGCGGCTGGAAGTGCAGCAGCTGGTCAACAACACCCGGACCCTGGTCGACGGCAACAACCTGAAGCTCAGCAGCCTCCAGCGGGAGGACGGGGGCATCTACAGCTGCACGTTCAGCAACAGCGTGAGTCGCCAGCCATTCAAAGGTAGGCTGTGGGGGGTAGAGTCTACAGCTATCCTAGCTTATTGTCGAAGGTAGGCTGTGGGGGTGTGAGGGGTCGGGGTGGTGGGGGAGGGGGTTAGTCTATATCTATTCAAGCTGATAGGTCTAGGTTCAAATCTTTGGTCTAGGTTCAAATCTTTGGTCTAGGTTCAAATCTTCGGCTAAGGTTCAAATCTTTGGTCTAGGTTCAAATCTTTGGTCTAGGTTCAAATCTTTGGTCTAGTTTCAAATCTTTGGTCTAGGTTTAAATCTTTGGTCTTGGTTCAAATCTTTGGTGTAGGTTCAAATCTTTGGTCTAGGTTCAAATCTTTGGTCTAGGTTCATATCTTTGGTCTAGGTTAAAATCTTTGGTCTAGATTCATATCTTTGGCCTAGGTTCAAATCTTCGGTCTAGATTCAAATCTTTGGCTGAAAAACTTCACTGACACCGTCCAATGAGACGCGACTTGGACTCGTGTCGTGGTTTTTGGCAATTGCTGGAAAAATGGATTGCTTCACGAGGTAGTAGTCTTAATCCCCATAAACTTCGCGAACAAAATTTGAATAGTTCAGCTATTAGGTGCTTGATTCGAATCACCCCCCTTGACTCAATAAAGTTTTGAGGCGATCTGGAATTCGAAGTATGAGACGTTCGTAACCCGGAAACAGTCGTAGCTCGAGGTTGGAGAGTTAAAAAAAAAACTACTTGTGTATACAGGGTAACTTCACATTTCTTGACAGTTTCCCGTTTTACACTGACCAACAGGGCAGGCTACTCTGTTATTTTGTTGTGCTCATATCGAGAGGTAGACAACAATTTAAAAAAAAAAATTAAAATAAAATATATCACTAAGTATTGACACTAAGTTCGTGTTGTAAATATGACGTTATAAGAGACTAAAAAAAATAATTTCTAATCAAATACTTTTTGGAACTATTGAATAATAAATTTTTAATTACAATTTTAAAATTCCCGGTATTACATATGGTCAATGCAATGCTGTCACACTTCGAACAGTGAGTTTCCCACCAGGTTTCATGACACCCGAGTTCAATCCCCTAACCTCGAGCCGTCAAACTTAACAGAATTACTCTCCGTTATTTACACCATGTGACGTCACAGTTAGCTGGGTGACTTCCCCTTATCGCTGAAATCAAATTACTTTTTTTTTTGGTCAAACCTCAAGGCTGATGCAAAAATACGAAATTTATAGATCAAGTTGTAAATCACATTTACAACAACATAAAAAATGTAACTAAGTTTAAAATTTATAGCATTAAAATATATTTTTATCATGGGAATGGAAAATAAATAAAAAACTGAAAGTATATTTTTCACATCACAAGGCCATTTTATTATATTTTGCTACATGTGCTATATTTTAAACACTTTCATTTTGTTGCCTGAATTTTGTATATTTTTTCTAATTTAAGTTTAGAAAACAAGTGCTTCATATCAACACACACACTCACACTCACACGCATACACACACACGCATACACACACACGCATACACACACAAAACGATATATATATATATATATATATATATATATATATATATATATATATATATATATATATATATATATATATGTGTCTGTGTGTGTGTGTGTGTGTATTGTTACATGACTTGAACAAAACCAGTTATAGGAGTTAACCTTAGTACTTTATTATACCAGACAGCCTAGACAACACGTCTTGTCTCTGGCTCTATCTGTAGTTATCTGCATCACAGCTACACATCAGCTACACATCAGCTACACATCAATCAGTTACACATCAGCTACACATCAGCTACACATTAGCTACACATCAGCTACACATCAGCTACACATTAGCTACAGATCAGCTACACATCAGCTACACATCAGCTACACATTAGCTACAGATCAGCTACACATCAGCTACACATCAGCTACACATCAATCAGTTACACATCAGCTACACATCAATCAGTTACACATTAGCTACACATCAGCTACACATCAGCTACACATTAGCTACAGATCAGCTACACATCAGCTACACATCAGCTACACATCAGCTACACATCAGCTACACATCAATCAGTTACACATCAGTTACACATCAGCTACACATCACTTACACATCAGCTACACATCAGCTACACATCAGCTACACATCAATCAGTTACACATCAGTTACACATCAGCTACACATCACTTACACATCAGCTACACATCAGCTACACATCAGCTACACATCAATCAGTTACACATCAGTTACACATCAGCTACACATCACCTACACATCAGCTACACATCAGCTACACATCAGCTACACACCAGCTACACATCAGCTACACACCAGCTACACACCAGCTACTCATCAGCTACACACCAGCTACACATCAGCTACACATCAGCTACACATCCTCACCTACACATCAGCTACACATCAGCTACACATCAGATACACATCAGTTACACATCAGCTACACATCAGCTACACATCAGCTACACATCAGCAACACATCAGATACATATCAGCTACACATTAGCTAAACATCCTCACCTACACATCAGTTACACATCATCTACACATCCTCACCTACACATCAGCTACACTTATGCTAAACATCAGATACACATCAGTTACACATCAGCTACACATCAGCTACACATCAGCTACACATCCTCACCTACACATCAGCTACACATCATTTACACATCAGATACACATCAGTTACACACCAGCTACACATCAATCAGCTACACATCAGCTACACACCAGCTACACATCAGCTACACATCAGCTACACACCAGCTACACATCAGCTACACATCAGCTACACATCAGCTACACATCAGCTACACATCAGCTACACATCCTCAC